AAGTGTACCAATTTTCACACTTTTTTCATAATTTGAACGATTTTGATGGTATCCTGACCTAACCGACTGTACTATTAGGCAGGACGGTGATGCAGTAGCACATAACAGGTTGTACCAGTGAAACAGAACACAGTTATATTCGGTTAATTGTACGGTTATAGTTTTGTTTCTTAATAGCTTACAAATAATTCCCCTGCATTCGTAGATGCCGCTGATCTGTATCTATCTCGTATATGTAGCTTACGCTACTTAGCTTGCGTTATAAGTTATCTGGTTCGCCGTTATTGCTATTATAGCCTCGTCTACACGACGAAATTTAACTCGAGTTAGCGATTATGTAGCGTCTACACGACAACACCCGATAGCGTGCGTGTGCAGGTACACGTGTGTGCATGAGTGCGTACGTGCGTGCATGCATGTGCACGTAGACGTGCGTCCGTGCGTGACTGCGTGTGCACGTACACCTGCGTGCATGCATGCGTGCGTGTTCACGTACACGTGCGTGCGTGCATGAGTGTGTGCGTGCGTGCGTCCGTGTGTGTGCACGTACACGTGCGTGCGTGTGTGCGGGCGTGTGCATGTACACGTAGACGTGCGTGCGTGCGTGCGTGTGCACGTACACGTGCATGAGTGTGTGCGTGCGTGTGCACGTACACGTGCGTGCTTGCGTGTGTACGTACACGTGCGTGCATGCGTCCGTGTGTGTGCACGTACACGTGCGTGCGTGCGTGTGTGTGCAGGTACACGTTCGTGCGTGCGTGTGCACGTACACGTGCGAGCATGAGTGTGTGCGTGCTTGTGCAAGTACACGTGTGTGCGTGTGTGTGCGTGCGTGTGTACGTACATCGTACTAATGTTGCCGCCTATCGTGGAGTTTAGCTTAACCTCGATCGACTGGCGAGGTTAAGCTAACTCGAGTTACCTTAACTCGAGTTAAATTTCGTCGTGTAGACGAGGCTTATCAGTGCAGCGTGAAGCGCTGTTACGTGGTTTAACTAACCACTAGACTAATATTAAAGAATTAACGCGTCGCCGGCTTCGTCTTCCCTTCTCCCCGTCGTCCTTTCTTCGCGTAGACTTAGGTAGCCTCCAAGGGTGTCTCCCTCGTAGTCGCTCCTGGCTCTACCGACCTGAAATCCCGCGCTTCTTTCCTTCCCGTTTTATTCCCTGTACCCGTAGTTCTACCTACCTGAAAACACGTGCTCCTATTCTCTCTTCTATCTCCCCGGGACCTAATATGCTTTCTTCTTCTTCCTACCTAAACCTAAACTGAAAAATAACACCCTCCGTGCTGCGGTTCGGCGCGCCTTATACCCAGAGCATATAAATCCAGAGCAAACTAGAAACGAGCAGTTGTCGCCAACTACATGTGTCCCCCTATATGCTGATTAATAGTACATAAACGCGTTGATTATCATACTCTATATATCGCAATCACTGATTTATATGCTCTGGTGTTACTCACCAATGTTTCTCAGCGACTGTGCAGTGTATTATACTCTTTAGACTCTCTAGTCT